GGGAGCACAGCAATGGAGGGAGGATGAGAAAATCAGTTATCATATACAATGTACATTAAGCAAAAAAATGAGCTATATAATTTGATGGTACTGATGTGAAAGAGGAAATGGGGGGGGAATGACCAAAGGGACAAATTCAAGAAGTGTTGTGCTCATAATCTGACTTTTTGATATATAGTCTGATATACATAGTTTATAGATACAGTCTAATATTATACATAGTCTGAGTTTCATTATTTGGAAATGTTTCCTCTCTTTTCAGTTTTTGTAATCTTTTAGATATAAACTTTGTGACAATAATTCCTTTATAAATTTCACATTTTATATTCAAAGGTTTTGTCATAATTTCACAGAGGAAAAAATGAATATCACAGGTAATGAAAAATGCCTCCAAGACTGCTTGCTGCATGCTTTTAAGCAGATATTAATAAACATTTTTCCCCTTCCCTAAATCTTTCTTTAGTTTGAAGAATACTGTTCTTTTCATTGTATATATCCACATAAGACCTGTGTAGGAGGCCCACTCATTAACTGATGGCAATATAAGTAGGTACCATCACTGTAATGTAAAAGGTCTAGAAGGAGTTACATTTGAAAAAAATAATGTGGTCTTAAGGGGATATTGACTTCATTTATCTTGGGATTTACAGCTATTAAGTGAGGGACTCGCTATGGTAAACACGCCCAATACTATATACTACATCACCACAGCCCTGACTCCCTGAAAAAATAGAATCATGAAACAAAAGACATCACACTGTATCACCAGAACCATGACACATGACTGTGGAGTAAAACTTCCAAAACTGTGAACCAAATGAACCTTCCCTCCTCAAAAATTGATTGTCTCAGTTATTTTCTTATAGGAACAGAAAGCTGAAGAACACATTATGGGAGGAAAAACCAAGCAATATGAGACAATTACTATCCTACTGTACTACTACTGTCCAGTACTGTACTATAAGCAATTAACATTTTAAAATGATGTTCATTGAGCAACACAAGTGAGAATAGCTCTCAAATAATTCTAAGCACACACTTTTTCCAAGGGCTGTATAAAGAATGACATGATTTAATCAAGAGTTTGAACAGATCTAAGCAGGAAATAGGTCTTTTAATACAAACAGTTTTCTTTCTCCAGTGATACTGAGGTAAAAATCAATTTCTAATATGATGGCTCATCACTACAGGAAGTGTCTACAGTACTATCACTGACCAAAGTTAACCCTTCCTCACTACAAGAAGTGTTTGAATGCTCTGTAGTGAAAAATTTGGTCACTGTCTTCAAGATAGAAAGATCAATTGGATCATACTTTTCCTCTGTGAAATAGCAGTATGTTAATGTGAACAGACCTTTTTCAGAGAAATGAAAATAACAAATATAGAGCTCTCACAAAATTTAGTAATATTTATAACATTTCACTGACTGTGCTATATGATACTCTTTTGCCAAACCATACTTATAATTCACTAATGCTTAAAATCTATACTCATTATAATATGATTTATTATTTAACTTTTCTACCAGCAATAAATACAAACTTAAAATCTGAAGTTATTGTATTATTAGTCATTATCTTCCATAAATTTAAGGTCAGGGATTGGAACTGTGGCTCAGTTGGTAGAGCTCTAGCCAATGAATGAGAGTGCCAGGTACAAGTTCAAGTCCCAGTCTCAGAACTAAAACAAAAATAAAAATAAAACCACTGCAACAGTTAATTTTACTGTGACCAAGAATATATTCAGGAATGTGTGTGTAGCTTAGTGGCAGAACAATGCCCTTGCATGTTTTGAGGCTCTGGGTTTTATACAAAATCTTTCACTTGGAATTCTAGACATGCATTTTTTATCCTTTACTCAAATTCATCCTCTGTACTAATGCTAGAGCCACTTCAGAAACAATAGAAGATAATGTAAATTAAAGCCATTAATGCTATTAAAGTATTTTTCTCATTTTCTAAAATATTTTTAAATGATGGAAATTTCTACCAGAAATTTAACAGAAAGGGAGGACAAAGATGAGAAAGAATAATAAACAGTGTGAATTTGATGGAAGTCTAATATGTGAATGACTGAAAATACCACAGAAAAATACCTTTGGATGATGAATATGCTATAATTTTAAAATATGTGTATACAGAATAGGCAAATGGGCCCTATTAATACACTGAAAACTACTGAGGATTCTTTTTTATAACACAATTACAAGAAGGTTGGTGAAGCCAAAAACAATCACACAAAGAGAATAAGATTATATGCATGATTGTTACTAAGAGCCAGAAAGTGAGAATGCTTATTGAGTATGAATCTGGATTTTTGAGTATCATTCTTATGATCACATTTCCAACATAAAACAGAAATATACGATTATCTTCTCCTATGCAGATGTGTTCTAGAGGTCATACTTAAAGCTCTCCTAACTTCTGACCAAAAGTTAATAGCACACAGCATATACACATGCATGTATAAATTAATGCATGGGTGTACAAAAGAGAAATAAGTTCATGTTCATCCTTTTAATAGAGAAAGAAGGATTGAGCGGAGGGAAAGAGAGAAGGGATTTGGATAAGCTTTTCTATTATTTCCTAACTGATTTTTCTTATTTTTATCTTTTGTACCAGTAAAAACATTTTCCAATTGCACAAAGAAGTATCAGATGAAGAGTGCCATTTTTGTTTTAAATTTGTATTTGCTAAATTTCTGTTCACTTACTTTATGTAATCAATACTTTTCATATTAGTCTAAACTAGCCTTTTACATAATTTTTCTAATCACTGCATATTGAGTGCTTATGTTTTCTTTTTTAGTACTATTAATTGAAAAGAGTCTACATGCCTGCCAGGCAAGCATAGTACTAAGTGAACACACTACACAGCTCTGTTTTTATTTAAGTTTTAGAGAATGAGGTATTTTGTATGATCTAATCTCAAAATCAAGATTTTTCTAAACCACATTCACCAGTTGCTGGATCATAGATTTCAGCTACCATCTATACCTAACTATGAGTGTTTCTTTTTAAAAAAAAATACTGTTTTTCCTTAAGTTGCTATACAAAGCACTTGCCATTCATTGAAAGGGTTTCTTCAATGGGGCTAAAAGATATGAAAACCACAGTCATATTGGGAATTGGCAAACAGGCAGAATGTAAAACACAAGCAATTCAGAGATCAAAATGTATTTGTTCAATTGTTAAGATGTTTCTAATGTGTCTTCGGTATATTTTGTTTTAATTTTGCAATAAAATGTTCTCAAATGAAAGGCATTGAAATTCATAACCTTGGATTTACTTTGCTCTCACTTGAAAAACTGCTCTTGTAAATAGAAATCATAACTATGAATCAGCCTCTTGCTTAAAAATCGAAGCTTAACATTTCATAAAGTTTCCTTGGTCTAAACACACTATTGGACATCAATACCCAAGTAAGCATGTGATAGTTCTTTAGTGGTCATGAGCGCTTCGCAATGCAGAGTAAGAGTCTGAAATAGGTTCGTCAGTTTTTACTGTCCAGCCTGGACTATGATGGCCTTCTCTGTGCATTTCTAGGAGTAGGGATGACAGGTGAATACACCCACATTTGCCTATTTGTATTGGTTTGGGGCTTTGTGAACTTTTCAGACCTGTGTGAACTGTGGTCTGAAATGTTCTGCTGAATGAAATATGATAGGAACTTTGTGATCCCTCAACAATGATTTTCTGAATCGCAAATAGCCACCATGGCAGATGTGAGCCACTAGTGCTTAGCCTCTCAGTAGAGTTTGTAATATAATTTGCCTTATTTACTGCTCTTTTCTCTCATGTTCAAATTATGTAAAGCAGAGTTCATTCAATATGTCTATGTTATGAGTCACATTGTTAAAGGCTGAAAAATCTTAGTCAAAATGAGGAAATGCTCATTATTCCTAGCCATAAAGGAAATGCAAAGCAAAACAACTGAGATTCCATCTCACCACCATTAGATTGGCACATAAACACAAAGAAATTTTACACAGCCATTAGAAAGAATTATAGTATGTTACTTTCAGTGAAATGGATGGACCTAGAACAAACCATGTTAACTGATACAGGCCAAGCTCAGACAGAACAATAGTACCTGTTTTCACTGCTATGTTGGAAGCTACATCTAAAATACACATTGGCATAGAGTAGCTATACAGTCTGTGTTTAGTCTTTAGGTAGACAAGGCACATTGTGTGGTTGATTCCTTCTTTGTAAGGCCAAGTTGTATCTCTGTATGCTGCCGTGTTTCTATCCCAATAATAACCAAACATTACTGTGGCACTCTGCTTCATACACTCTGGGAAAATAACTATTGTTTTTACCTATGTATGTCCTTGGTCTAGAGTGAAGGATTCCAAATACATTGAGTCAGCCATTTTACACCTACCTGGGTGGATTTTTAGGATAACTTATCAGAGGACTTGAATACTTGAAAAATGGCAGTGAAAGTGGGTATAGGTTTCTTCAAATATACTAGAAAAGGATTGGTGCTATTCTTTAAACCAAATTGGATGAGTGTGAATTATATTTCAACAGAATTGCTACCAAATATTTTGGATGATGGTATCTAAGAAATGTTGAGCAGTTGTGAAATCACTATGTTTATTTCTGTGTCAAAGAGAATGCAGACAAGTCATTACTTCTTACCTGCCCATGTTCTTGAGTAATTATTAAATGGTCTACATAAAACAGATGACACTGTTGGAAAAGCAATGTCTTCATTTCCTTACTTTTGTAACTGTAACTCCTCTGTACAACACCGTCACAATAAAAAAATTAAAACAGGCAACTTGCACATACAGGTTATAGACTCCTAGCTACATGAAAGAATTTATTTACAATTAGTCTTTCCCAAACTAATATTTTATAAATAAGCCATTCAGTCCACATGCTCTGATTAGTCAATCATTTAAACATGTACTTTGATCAACCCAAGTTATATTTTTACTTCAGAATCAAGGATATTTTTACTGAAATAGACAGAAGTAAACTTAGCTTAAAAGGACGCAGTGCAGGTAGTCAGGATGACTTGGAAATGGAATTCAGTCCTACTGATACTACAGCTGAGTTATTACTTTAATTCTGGAAGCTGTGGGAAAGTACTGGTGTGGCCCATGGAATACAGCCACTGGATGAATATAAAGGTAATACTGGATGAACTCATCTTGAGGGGTCATGAAGTAACTGTTTTGAGACCATCATCTGCTATTTTCATTAAGAGCAATGAAGTATCCAGCATTAAATTTGAAACTTACCCTTCGTCTTATACTACTGAAGAACGGATCACTATTTCCACAGAAATGATCAGACGATGGACATATGAAATGCCAAGAACATGTTTGGCATATTCACCATTACTGGAGAATATCATGTGGAAATTTTCTAATATTTGGCTAAATATTTGTAGAGAAGCTGCTTTGAACAAGGAATTCATTGCTCAATTACAAAAAGGAAGATTTGACATTGTGATTGTAGATCCCATTGGTGCTTGTGGGGAACTTCTGGCTGACCTATTGAAGGTTCCTTTTGTGTACAGTATCCGCTCCTCTCCTGGCTACAAAATAGAAAAGTATAGCGATGGGTTTCTATTCCCTCCTTCTTATGTGCCTGTCATTTTGTCAGGACTAAGTGGTCAAATGACATTCATGGAGAGGATAGAAAATATGTTATGCATGCTTTACTTTGACTTTTGGTTTGAGATATTTGATTTGAAGAAGTGGAATAACCTTTACAGTGAAGTTTTAGGTAAGTACACTTTTGTTATTAGTAGATTCAAGATCATAATCTTTGTGAAAGTTGGAAGAGGGACTCAGATTTGTGTGAAATAAGAGAAATTTGCCTTATGTAAGTGAACCAGACTCTCAACTGTGGAAAATCTTACCCTATAGAGCCAGAAAGAAGAAAATGGACAATTTCAATCTAGGAGGTCATCCAGTTTGAAAAACTTCATCCACACAGAAAACATTGCTCATTTTTCTTCCTTACCAAAATCACTCATTTAGCCCTGTGCTAGTGGCTCACACCTGTTATCCTAGCTACTCAGAAGGCTAAGGTCAGAGGACTGCAGTTCTAAGGGACCCGTGGGCAGAAAAGTCTGCTGAGATTCTTCCCTCCAATTAACCACTAAAAACCAAATTTGGCGCTGTGGATCAAAATGGCCAAGCATTAGCCCTTGAGTGAACAAATCTCAGGGGCACTGCCCAGGCCCCGAGTTCAAGCCACATAGCCAACAACAGTAGCAATAAAATCATCAATACCTCCCTAATAGACTGATATATAATCATATATAGCATATACCTCTGTATGCCAGAAATAAGGAATTGTTTCCCTTGATCATTTTTTATTTAAAATATTTTACCTGTATTTGCTTTCTTATATTATTTTTCTTTTTGTTTGTACCAAGTTTTGAACTCAATGATGTCAAGTCTCCTGTATTACTTGCTTTGGGCTGGTACTTTACTACAGGAGCCATGCAGCCTGCCAGAATTTTGTTACTTAATTGGAGGGGTCATCTTGAGGACATTTCTGCCCCTATTAGCTTTAAACTGCAATCCTTCAGTTTTCAGAATTCTGAGTAGCTAGGGTACAGGTGAGAGCAGGTTTTCTGGATTCTCTAAAATGTTTCCTTATTTATAAGACTTACAGTGTTTTATAAATATTTATAATTTATAAGGATTACACATTCCTAAATTGGTAATTTGTTCAATCAACTATGTTACAGACATAAGACATAATAAAGTGGGAATGTACATGTGAAGATTCTCTATTGCTTTTTAGCATGTTTCCCCATTTTGGCTTTTATTTTTATAGTAATCAGGATGTATTGATACAGGTACGTAAGTTAGGAATTAAGTACATCTCATTTTAAACAGGGTTACTTCATCTTCATTTTCTCCCAGCTTTTGCCTTCATACCCACTACCTCCTATGTTGTATAGTTCTTTTCCTATGTGGTGTCTAGTATATATCACTGCTGAATTGGTTCACCCTATACCCCACCATTTCTCTGCTTACCCTTTCCCTCCCCAAATCAAAGAAATTTACATACAAGAAAAAAAGCACAGATATCAAAAACAGAGACAAAGGGAAAAAAAGAGAAAGAAGCTAAAAAGTAAATTTTAAAAAACAAGAACTTCTGTCTTCATTCCTTAAAGTTCATTTCAATAACCATCATTTTGCATGATCACATGTCCATTGCTATTGAGCCCTGTGATCCTCTCCAAAGAATATCTTCCCTTGGTCTCCCTGGGTGAAAGTTCAGAATGCTGTTTAATGTATCAAGTCCAAGTGTAATTTTTTGCCTTCTAGTATCCCTTGGATTTAGATTTAGAGGACATTCTAATTATTACAACTGGGGAAAACATGCAACCAATGTTTCTTTGAGTCTGGCTTGGTTCACTTAATGTAATTTTTCCAGCTCTTTCCATTTCCTTACAAATAGGGCAATGCCATTCCATCTGATGGAACAATTCTGTTAAATATAGTTCCCATCCTTTTAGTTGTCTTCTCTTCTCCTTCATCTTCTGATTGAGTTCTGAAGTTAGTGCAATATCCTTCCTTCTTCTTGGATTTCTTTGGAAAAAGTCTCTCCTTTTTCTATATCAAATCTATTCTGGTTTTGATTCCTGAGATGCTGAGTTCTATTTCATCTAATCAGCTGTCAAGACTTTCTACTTTGCTTAACACTTCCCTGCCTTCTAACTAATTTAAATTTTTGGTAGCTATTTTTTTATGGAAGCTGTGTTTTAGGTCTTATATGTGCTTCTTTACTCCCTTGATTTGTGTCTTGTCTCATATCCTTTAGCTGAGTGACTATTTCTCATTGGACTCCCTTTCACTCTATTGGAATTCATATAGTTTTCAGTTTGTGGATTCCATGGACTCCCCCAATACTTTTTGGTTAGTCTCATGGTGCTCCTGCATAGCCTTGTGTGGGTTTTCAAGTTTTCATTAGGCATATTTATCAGCAGGGTTTTAAAACATTTTGAAAACACTCTTCTAGATCCTTCATTGACAGCTCAATTGCTTGGTTACTTTGCGTGGGATCTGAGCTTCTTTGACTTGCCATTTTCCTTATGTTTCTAACATTTTTTTCTGCCCACTGGGAAACAAACGCAAATCCAAAACTACCATAGAGCACAATTTAAATTCATAAACCCAGAGCCTTAAGTTTCAATCAGAGGTTTTAAGTTATAGATATTGTTTGCAGAGGGAGGTTGTGGTACAGAAGAAGAGAATATGTGTACTTGTAGCCAGTGAGCCAATCTGTTCTTAGGGTCAGGATAAATCAAACCAAATCAAAAAGGTAACAGGATGAGTCAACTATAGTAGGTAGAGTCAAAAAATAGTGAAACTAATAGACAACTAGGGATCAAAGGAATAAAGAAAAAAAAGGACCAGAAATATAGGAAAACAAGTTAATATCAAATGAAAAGAGAATGAATAGGCTGAGATCTGAGGATCATGGTTGAAAGCCTGCCCAAGCAGGGAATGTCCGTGAGACTCTGATCTCCAATAAACCTAGAAAACTGGAAGTGGTGCTATGGCTCAAGCAGTAGAGAACTTGCCTTGAGCTGACAAGAGCAGGGAGAGTGCCCTAGCCCAGAGTTAAAAGCCCCACTTCCAACAACAACATTAAAAAACACAAGAAAAATATAGGGAGGAGTAAATAGGAATAGATTGAAATTTTGCTTATGTGATAACGTGAAGTCTATCAAACACCCCTTCTACTTCGATTTTTTTTTTATTGTCAAGGTGATGTACAGAGGGGTTTCAGTTATATGGAGGTGTGGCTATTGTGTATATTCCCACTCTCAGGAAACTTCCTAAATATTGAAGTTTTAAGGCCTGTCTAACTTCTTATGAAATGTGTTTATAATCTCCTCTGTGGTGTATATCTCTAGATAATTATAGCATACTTGGTGTGATTCTCTAGATGTGAAAAGCCTGCTGGGACATTAAAACTCTGCTTTTTCAGAGAGAGAGTAGGTTGTTCCCAATTCTCTTTCCAATACCTTCCTCCCTCTCCCCTATGTTGCTGTGTTTAATAAAATATTAGCAATGAACAAGGTGAATGCAATTATCTATTGCCATTATTTCTGAAATTTTTCCAGGTGATATTTGCTAATGTTTCTATGTAATGAATACATACTTTTAAGCTCCTAAGGTGAATCTAAAGTAGAAGTAAGAAATTCAGCCACAGACACAAAACATAGAGGAAATGCAAAATCAAGGTCCATCTTCTTAAACTATAGAACACAAGATTGAAATCTCTTGGGAAAATGATAGAATTATTAACTCTGGAGATAAAATATTTCTGTAACCAACAACAGAAAAGAACTCCGTAATTAATTTAAAAAATCACTTATTTTAATGTTTATATATTACTTCTAATAAACGGAGGCACCATAGAAAGTCTCTTACCAGTTTCCTTTTCACAAAAATATGCACACACTACATATATCTGTAAAATACTTTATCTAAAACCAATAAGTTATCCATTTAAATTGGCTATAAAGATACTGATATATCAAAACCACATTATATAACATTGAGTAAAACTTATAACAATCCCTGGAGGAAATGATAAATACTATATTAAGAAACAACTCTTTCATAGCCTTACCTACTATTTACTTTTCCCCTCTTCACTCAGGACAACCCACTACTTTAATGGAGACCATGAGTAAAGCAGAAATCTGGCTTATTCGATCTTACTGGGACTTGGAATTCCCTCGCCCAACTTTACCAAATGTTGACTTTGTTGGAGGACTCCACTGCAAACCTGCCAAACCCTTGCCTAAGGTAAATAGATAAACTTTTTGTCTGTTATTTGATTTCTGGTTCAGATAATATGATTCTTTTCTTTTCTTTTCCTTTTTTGTGAAAATACCGAACAGAGTGGTTACAATTATATGGGCAAGGTAATGAGTACATTTCTTATCAAGTATTGTTGCCTCCTCCTTTGTTTCCCCTTCCCATCCCTTCCCATCTCTCTTATCCCATTCTCCCCACTGCCTGCCTCCTCTCCCTGCACTAAAGTTGGAAAATACATTTTTCTACATAACGTCTTGTACAGCTCATTGTTGCAATGGGTCCACCTGTTCCCCTATTTAAAAAATTTGTTTTTCCCTTCTCCTCCACAAATTATACCAACATCAAATACAGTGAAAACAAGGGTTATACTGTGGGGGAGGGACACGCAAAGCAACAAAGAAATATCTTATAAATATGTTAGAAAAAATAGCAAGAAAGAAAAAACATTTGAATCCTTATCTTGGGGTTCATTTCGCCTAACATCAACTTATTTGACCTTTTCTGCTTGTCTCAGACATATACTAGTTATTGCAAATAAGGGAAACCATGGGACCTATGTTTCTTTGGGCCTGCCTTACTATACTTAATATAATTTTTCCAAGCCTTTCCATTTCCTAACAAATGGGGCAATGCCATTCTTTCTGATGGAGGCATAGAATTCCATTGTGTATATATGCCACATTTTCTTGATCCATTCATCTACTGAGGGGCATCTGGGTTGGTTCCATATCTTAGCTATGGTAAATAACGCTTCAATTAACATAGTTGTGCTGGTAGTTTTAGTAGGTCTCCTTGTCATGGGCCGAAATTTTCTTAAAAGAGAACCAGAAACACAACAAATCAAAGAAAGGTTGGACAAATGGGATTGCATGAAATTGCAGAGCTTCTGCATGGCAAAGGACATAGCTAGCAAGATCAATAGAAAGCCCATGGATTGGTAGAAGATCTTCACTAGCCATACAACAGACAAGGGCCTCATATCTAAAATATACCTGGAACTCAAAAAAATCCCCCAACAACAAATCCTCAAAGAAACAACTACCCAATAAATAATTGGGCTAAAGACTTAGAGAGAAACTTCTCTGATGGCCAATAGACACATAAAGAAATGCTCAACCTCCCTAGCCATAAAAGAAATGCAAATCAAAACAACATTGAGATACCACCTCACCCCAGTTTGAATGGCTATAAGAACTCTAATAACAACTGATGCTGAAGGGGATGTGGACAGAAGGGAACCTTACTGCATTGTTGGTGAGAGTATAAACTAGTTCAACCACTTTGGAAAGTAGTGTGGAGGTTTCTCAGAAGACTCCACATAGAGCTCCCCTGTGACTCAGCAATCCCACTTTTGGGCATTTACCCGAATGATCACAAACAAGTTAATGTGATTTTGCACCACTCATCCCAAGTCTTTGCTTACAGTGAAAGAGGTACAGGAAGTGAGGTAAAGCATTCTACCTATTGAACCTAATTTGAATCATCACAAGTTTTTACATTCCAGAAACTGGAGTTATCCAGAACAAAGCCAGTTTAATTAAGACTTAATTATTCACCACCTAGAAAGAATCCTTGATTCACTCATAAAACTATCAAGTGATTCACATATAAAGAAAGTGTTAGAAACAGTATAACTGTTTCTACCCTACCCCTCACACCTTATAGTCCACTTAAAAAGACAGTTGAAAATCCATTAGTAAGAATTATGTGAAAGCATTTCTGAAAAGAAATGTTTTCAAAAATGATGAAAGTCAAAAAGTTTCTCAGAGTCACTGATAGTATGTGAACACTGCTCAGAAATAAGTTGAAGAATGAGAATTGAGAAAGATACATAAGGAAGAGCAATGAGTACAGTAAGAAACTAAATAAGACCTAAAATTTTTGCATATCAGAGAAAAGTTTCTAGAGAAATAATTTTGAATCCAGGAAAATTTGTCACACAATGATGTCAATGTACTTCGTATTAATAGTAGCTTAATAGTAGCTAACTGTATTTATCTAACTGTTGTTCATCTGATAATTTTGAAAATATTTTATTTTCTCTCCATAGTTTTATATACCAAAACACCTTATTTTATTTTTCTCTGTTGATCCTAGGTGTGAGGGTAGGGGCATGAATTCACAGCCTGGCATTTTCCCTGAGCTTTTGTCTAATGCTCTACCACTTAAGCCATACCTCTATTTTCAGTGTTTCAGTAACACATTAGAGAGGATAATCTCACAGACTTTTCTTCCCAGAAGGCTCTAAACCATTATCCTCAGATCTCAGCCTCCTGAGTAGCTAGGATTATAGGCAAGAACCACCTGGGCCTAGCCAGTTTGACATTAAGTAAGCCAGACCCAAAGAAACATAGGCAAAATGGTTTCCCTCAGTTGTAATAATTAGTATATGATTAGGATAGTCCTGGCAGAGAATCATAACAGCTCAATAGCTATGTACATATGACCAAACAAAATGATGCTACTTGAAATGAGCTCCAAGACATGGAAACAAAAGTTCTTTTTTTTTTGGTTGGTGACTTTGTTGATGCCAAAGTACTGTATCTAGTTCTTTCTTTTCATTTTATTTCATTTTTCCTTTTTCTTGGTTTATCCCTGGTAATCACTTCTTTGATTCTAATAGCCTGCATCTAGTATATACACTTACCTAAATTGGAGAAGGCATGGGGAATACCAAAATGCTGAAACAAGGACAAAAATGGCCCATTGCAACAATGTTACTCACAAGACATTATTTTGGAAATGAACATTGTAACTTTGGGGGAAGGGGGAGGGGGGAGGGAGGGAAGGACAGAGGGAGAACAACAAAGATGTGGGTAACTGTTTCCCAAGGAATATACTCATATAACAGTAACCCACTTATAAAGCATCTTTACAATAAAATAAAATAAAAAACATGAACTAATGTTTGCTTACTGAGTGTGTGTGTGTGTATGTGTGGTTGTAAGAGAGAGACAGAGAGCAAGAGAGAAGGAGCACAATTTTTTCTCTTCACAGGAAATGGAAGACTTTGTGCAGAGCTCTGGGGACAATGGTGTGGTGGTGTTTTCCCTGGGGTCAATGGTTGGTAACATAACAGAGGAGACAGCCAATGAGATTGCATCAGCACTGGCACAAGTTCCACAAAAGGTGAGACAGTGTACCTCAATAGTAGTCCTCACTGAATGGGCCTTAAACGCTGCAGGTTTTTGATTATACTAGTTTCTTGGTGAAAGACAGACTGCTAAAATAGCTCTAATTTGTCTTAGCCATTTTAAAGACAAAGGGTATTCATGGCAAAGGCTGGAATAGCAAGGAACTTTGGATTGTTTTAAACTGACAATGAATGCAACATGAATTTTGTCACCAGAAAGACACACAGTAGCTACAATATGAAATTGTGTCATTATGATAATATTGCTAGCAAGCATTCACAGAAATCATGAAATTTCTTCCAGTCCTTGCAGGAATGTTACAGACAATCCATACACTAACCATATTTCAGAAAGGAATTCAATGGCACTAATAAATTGAAGCAGTACAGTAATATTTAGCACATAGTTTAGTTTAGTTTGAAATGTATTATATAGTTTAATGTTCCTATAAAATCCTTTCCTTCAGTTTTGAAACAGAGCCACTTAGAATTGAAAGGGTTATTCAGAAAAAAGAAAAGGAAGATTCATTCCTCATTCCGGGTGTGTATTCAGCCTTGTTAATGAAGAGAAAGTAAATAAAACCAACCTGCCCTACTGGACTGGGGCTTGTTATATCTGAAACCAGATCTGTACAGTTCATGGGAAAGTGGCCATTGTCTACTGAAAAATACATGTAGCACCATTAAAATTGAGGATCCTTTCAGCAGCCATGTGTCCTATGAACTATAGGCCAGCTCCATTTCCTACATTTAAGATTTCCCCCATTATAGATCATAACTTGAGATGTCAGTATCATAAATTTGTGATGAAAATTCAACCTGCAATTATCCTACACAACTCAACCAATAATTTGCAAGCTAAAACTAGCTTCATGTAATTACTCAAAAGAATTCATTGATTTATGATAAAGAATTGCTTACATAGACTTGAATAAGTTTGTCAGAAAAGGCTGTATAAAAATAACATTTGGCCAGGCTCTGGTGGCTCATGCCTGTAATCCTAGCTACTCAGGAGGCTGAGATCTGAGGATCGCAGTTCAAAGCCAGCCCAGGCAGGAAAGTCCATGAGATTCTTATCTCCAATAAACCACCAGAAAACCAGAAATACCACTGTAGCTCAAGTGGTAGAGCTCTTGCCTTGAGCTGAAGAGCTGAAGGACAGTGCCCAGGCCCTGAGTTCAAGCCCCACAACCAACAAATAATAATAGTAATAATAATAATAATATTTGTTCATGTGCTGGTCATGAATCAGAAGGTACAGCCTTAACATGAGGTACAACAGTGTGAGTTGTTGATCTGGGTGTGCCATGGAAAGGCCCTGTCAGCAACCCCATTATTGGTTCTAGGAGCCATTTGTCTGTCCATCCAGATAAATGTGTCAGGTTGACAAAGTCTCAGGGAGGCTAGTTTTGTGGGGCCATTCATAGTATGAATAGTAAGGGGAACTATGTACACAGTCCATAGTGCTGAGTATTATGTAACATAATAATCACTTAATAAAATACCCAGTGTAGTGCAGTATATAGTATGGAGTAGTTTGACTCCATTTCTGGTTGGTAAAGCATGACAGCATCTTTTCATAAAATTTCTCTCCAGGGAGAACTGTGAACATAAAGTATTTGTCATAAGTAGGTAGTTAAGAAATAAATGAAAAATGTTAAACTACAATGAAATCCCATAGACTAAGAGAATATCTCTCTAATATCATTTTTAAAGGTTAATAGATAAAATTGGAAGAGGAGAGCTAGTTCAGTAAATATGTGTATAGATATAAATCTTAATTTTAAACACTATTGGACAACAGACCTATGGTTATGACTACATAAAAATTTGTTTAATGCATTCATTTGTCATTTATCACAGCATTATTCTTTGGTCAGTCGTGGGGTGTGAACTCTGAGCCAGGGTGCTGCTCCTTGGCTCTTCAGCTCAAGGCAAGAGCTCTACCACTGATGAGCTACCCTCCCAGCCCTATCACAGCATGTTTTAAGCACTGTAAAAATTTTTGATAATATTCCATCTTCCTAAATATGAAAGTAAGTACAGGAAGTGTTGGTGTTTTTTTTCTCAGTACTCTACAAGTCCTCATTAATTAACCCCTATTCTCTTTTCTTTGTTCATTCTATGAAAATCACTTAACTGTGTGATCTCTAAATTTTGAAATGTTACATTCTAAAAGTTACAAAAATAATATCTTTCCCTAACAGGTTCTTTGGAGATTTAATGGAAAGAAACCAGATACCTTAGGACCGAATACTCGGCTGTACAAGTGGCTCCCCCAGAATGACCTCCTTGGTAAGACTCTGAAAAACACATACTGAATGCATGAGTAACTGTAGAAGTAGTTGATAACAACACAACAGGAAACAAACTGATGGAGATGTATTAATAAAAATTCAAAAATGAAAGCTAACTTTTAGATTTATAATCCATCCTAAAAAATCAGCCTTACCAGATAAAAATTTTACTATACTCTATTGTATACTTTATGATCACTTTATCTTTTTACAACGTATACTTACCATTGACAAAGCATTTTCTGTAATTGCCTAAGGTTAGCTCCCTGTCCCTTAATTCAACCATTACATTATCCATCCTCCTAAAGTAGGACAAGTATTTGCAATGCCATTGAAACATACAAGTTTGTTTTATTTTAAAAGAATCTGCATTTTATGTGGGAAAATTCATGTTGCTTAATTTGAAATGATAACACACTCTGTTTCAAGCATACCTCAATAGTTAAATAGCTGCACTATTTTTAAGTTTGTGAGAGCACAATCCAACAGGAACATTTTCTTGCTTCAGGATTTGCTTTCTATTATCCATTATGTCTTTTCCTATCTGTTCAAAAGGAAATGGTATATTCATTTTCAAATCTCAAGTCACACAAAACCTAAGATACATACCATAAGGTTTTTACTTACCTTTCAAATCGATTATGTAGTTCTTGTGGTGAGCTATGCAGGACAGTAAAATGTAACTTCACTTGTCCAATATTTCTTATTTGGAAAAGACTGTTTCTTTCATTGCTCATGTTAGACATTTCTCATTTTATGTGTAAAACTTTTAATGAGCAATTGTATTGAAATGCCCCTAATCCTAGGCCATCCCAAAACAAAAGCTTTCATCACTCATGGTGGAGCTAACAGCATCTATGAGGCGATCCATCATGGGATTCCCATGGTGGGCATTCCTTTGTTTGGGGAACAACATGATAACATCGCTCATATGGTGGCCAAAGGAGCAGCTGTTCAACTGGATATAAGAGCAATATCAAGTAAAGACTTGCTCAGAGCACTGGAAGCAGTCATTAACAACCCTGTGTGAGTATAACTTCGTGTGTGTGTGTGTGTGTGTGTGTGTCTGTCTGTCTGTCTGTGTTTTTCTGGGCATTAAACCCTGGGGGACTAACTCATGATTGGTAACCATTCTACTCTAGCTGTTTGTTAGTCTGATTGTTGTTTTATTAAATACTGATTGTAGATAATTTCTTACATGAATCTGACCATGAAAGTTACCCTCAGTTAAGACTTGCTTAATTCTGGAAGACTTCATCAATTACCCATCATGTATTTCACAAGTCACAAACATATTTTTGTATGTTTGTATGCATGGGGTGTGTATATGTTTGAGTCTGTGTGTTTGTGTCAGTGTCTGTGTTGTAACATTGTCATGCTATAGAAACCCAGGATGGCCTCAAACTTATGATCATCATCTTTCAGCATTTGGAAGCTGAGATGCCACAGACCCACTTTCCTTCCCAACCATGCTGATTTGTACCCCCAGTGATTTCAGTGCAAAGAAATTATCAGAACCTTGAGAATAGTATGAAAGTCTGAAACAGGGCAAACATGGTCTAGAAGGAATCTCTAAGGATGAAAACAGATGATCACTAGAAGATGAGGAAAGCAATGAATTAGGGACACATGAACGCTCCCTCCATAAATGACACTACTCCAGTTCAGTATAACTTACTTTCAACCTAAGATCTCACTAATTACTCTTAATAAAATAAAAATTCACTGTGTTTGAAAAAATAGAGCATCAAGTTAAAATGTTTGAAATCTTACTCTTGTGAAGTCATGAACATATCTGTCCTTTCAGTTTGCAGTTTGCTTTTCTTCAAAAAAAAATGTAAGTAGTTTATGTTGTTAAAAAGCAAAATAATAGGGGCTGGGAATGTGGCTCGGTGGTAGAACTCTTGCCTTGCATTCCTGAGGCCCTGGATTCAATTCCTCAGCACCAAATAAGCAAAAAGAGAAAACCCGGAACTGGTGCTGTGTCTCAAGTCGTAGAGTGCTAGCATTGAGCTGAAGAGCTGCGGAACAGTGCCCAGGCCCACAGTTCAGGCCCCATGACCAGACCTCCCCCAAAAAAAGCAAAATAATAACCAAATATTGAATTCCTATTTAATGCTTTCTAAATTCACTATGTTAGTGCTTTGATTCTATCACTGATAACTAGGTAGTGCTTTTAAATTTTCTTGACTACTCCTGTTAGAACAAGAGAACATTATTTTGAAAAGTATACATATTCTTAGATATTAAGGGCTATGATTATCTTATTCAGAGTAATCATAAAAGAAAAAGCAATTACCTTCAGAAGTACAAGTGAAATATAGCTGCTTAATATCCAAAATATCTGGTGCAAAAAAATTTACTACACAAATTATTTCAATAAATATATTTATTTCTTTTATAGTAATATCAATTTTGTCTTACGATCAGTAATATTCTGTATATATTTCTCCGCTTTTATCATGCCTGCATAAATAAAGCACTGTATTGTAAATAAGTAGAGCAGAAACATTTTGAATGCCATGTTACTTTGATATGTTTTGGAGGCACTGGGTTTGAACTCAGAACTTAATACTCAGCTGATTTGCAATTTCAACAGGCATTGTACCACTTGAGCTATGACAGCCATCTTATGTTTTCCAGATTATTTTACAGTAAAAATCTTGGAAATTTTCTGTCATGTCTAGCCTTGAGCTGTGACTGTCAGGAGCTCAGGTAGACAAGTTTGTAGAAGCCACCAACATCTAACTCTTATTGATTTTATACAGACATTGAGCAACCTCATGAATAATTTGTGAGCCATATTTGCTCTTCCAGTTTTTGAAAACCAGTGTATTTTTCATAAATTTCCTGAATATGAACTAAATCTCTGACATAGAGATCATATTAAATTGTAACATATATGATGCTGATTCTGAGAAATGTGGGGATGTCTTAATTAGATAAGATATGCTAAAACTTATGATACAACACACATTTCCCTAGTTTTTTATGAACTTCAGTTTATTTTTCCCTAGTGTATAACAAAAGTGTACTAAGATTTGTATCAATAGGTCTGAAAAAGAGCTATGTCAGTGATGTTTTTAAATCACAAAGAGAAAAATCATTTCAATTGCAATTGCTACAAGCTCCTCCTTTAGCACCTTGGGATTTACACTTAATTGCCTAGGTATGCATATGTTCACATTACCTATTGGACATAATCATTTCAACACAAATCTCATGTGCCTGCAATACCTGAATGTAAACAGAGATAAAACAATATTGGCAAACACCTTTGAGATTCTATTAGAAAATGTGAATAATTAAAATTATTCAAATTTCAGGACATTACTTCTCACAAGGCAAGAAGAACTCAATCATTTCTACTTTTCCATTTCCTATCCTTTGGTTGTTTCATAGTAAGCAGGTAAAATGGAGAAGTTTCAAAAGCGGTTCATAAAAGGAAAAGGCAAGCCATAGGGTAATAGTGGAACAAGTAAGTATTAGGGTCAAGACATAAAAGGAGAGCTGGGTGTCATTGGCTGATGCCTGTGATTCTAGCTACTTGAGAGTCTGCCATCTGAGGATTATGGTTTGTGGTCAGGCCAGGTACCAAAGTCCAGAAGACTCTAATTAACATCCAGAAAGCCAGAATGGAACTGTAGCTCAAGTAGTAAAGGTAGCTCAAGGCCAGTGCCAAAGCCCAGAGTCCAAGCCCTAAAACACAGACCAAAAAAAGGAGGAAGAGAAATGTTTACATAATAGTTACATAATGAGTACATAGTTACATAATAATTCATCAGTGATGAATTACTTAAAAAGTACAAAGTTTGGAGGGGAAAGCTGCTTCATCAAATTATCTTTCTGTCTCTAAATTGTGATACAATCCTGAACATTGAACAATTGGTGCATTAATAATTATTTCTTGAATAAGTTAGCTTTTCTTCTGCCTATGGAATTTCAGTGTTTCTACTTTATACTTCAGAAATACTTGTTTTGACAAGGTTTATTAAATGCTTAAATCCAGTGTCATTAAGAAGCTCTTGCCTTTTACACTAACGTGACCATAAATACAGCAGAAAAAAGCCTTTCCTATCTCTCCAAATTCTATACAATTATTTTTATCATCTACAGAATAGTACAGTATCTAACTTTTCTAGTTCACTTGATATATTTATGTTAATTTCTTTTACCTTTAGCTACAAAAAGAATGCTATGTGGTTATCAACCATTCACCAAGATCAACCTATGAACCCACTGGATCGAGCTGTGTTCTGGATCGAATTTGTCATGCGCCACAAAGGAGCCAAGCATCTGAGGCCACTTTCCCACAACCTCACCTGGTACCAGTACCACTCTCTGGATGTCATTGGATTCCTACTGGCCTGTGTAGCCACTGTTACCTTCCTTGTCTTAAAATGTTGCTTGTTTGTTTACCAAAAGGTTTTGAAGAAGGGAAAGAAGGAAAAGAGCGAGTAGAGCTTTCAACACCTCAGGGAATGGACTAAGACCATACTAAGCAATACCATCCTAATGATTTTGAGCACATTCAAAGTAGGAGAGATTCTCCTCCACATTTTACTTAAACCTATGGCTTTGGTATATTCAAATGGCTTTTATTCCTGATTAAACATGAAGTAATGTACAATTCTAATTTCAGAATTCCCCCAAAAGTTACATTTGAGTCAATGAAGCAGTTATTGTAACTGAATCTACCGAGACCCATGGAAATTTGAGCATGTTAAATGGAGGGATGCATAAAATCCAAAGTTTTGTTGTGCATTTCCAGAAGGGGAATATTTTGGTAAACTATGATCAAATGAAGTTTTTGCTTGTCTGCCCAAAGAAAAGCAGACGGGAGGTTAAAGGAAGTAACACACTTTATTCAGACTACTGAAATATGGGACAGAGTTGACAATAACTGAAGTGACCTTCTCATGAGTCAAAGCCAAACATAAACAGTGAATAAGAGAAAATGAAGAAGGGACAATTAAAGGAGACAACAGATTTATCTGAAGATAGCCAATTCCAAAAGAAGTAGAAAAACACTGAAAATGGTCTGCCCTGGGTGCAAGAGTTAGAGGGTGTGCATTGTACATTGCTGGTGAGACATAATTATTGCTTTTGATCTATGGAAAGATTTTACAGCACTGTGTTATGAACATCGGAAAATTAGATTCCAGACCATAGTGGTTGGTGCTTATAATCCTAGGTACACAGACTGAGATGCAGTTCAAAGGTAGTGCAGGCAGGAAAGTCCAGGAGACTCCTATGTCTTTTAACCACCAGATAACTGAAGTGGAACTGTGGCTCAAAGTGGTTAAACATTATCACGAGCAAAAAAGCTCAGGGACAGCACCCAAACACTGAGTTCAAGCCCCATCACTGAGATAACTAAAGAAATAGGAATCAAATGGACATTGTGTTGGATATCTGTAATCCCAGGTCCTTGGGAAATGGAGACAGTATTGTTGTGGTTTGAGGATTGTAAGGGCAATGATGTATAGGCTCAAGTGTTAGAGCACTTGCTTAGCAAATATGAGATTCTTATTTTAATTCCTAGTGCTTCAAAAAGAAGTTGCTATCAAAAAATACTAATCAGACAAGAAACAGGTAATGATAGCTACCTTTCATAGAAATTTAAATGTATAATCAGTCTAAATTTTAAATATGAAATAAAAATGAATGTATAAAATATAAAACAAATGCATCAGTGCTCTTTATTACATTAAGTTTTTAATAGAAGAGAACTTTGCAGGGTACATTATTCAGAGCTAATCGTTAAGCTCTCTCCATATACTACTCAAAGCAAATTCTAGTCTATTTTTATTTCTTCCTCAAATTATTATATACAATTTTATATTAACACTATATATACAAAGACATATTACTTTACTATAGAAAAAACTAAACTATGTCACTTTCAGGAAAATGGATACAACTGGAAATTATCAGGTTGACTGGTATAACACAAAATCAAAATACTCTAAATACTGCATGATCTTGCTTTGTGGAGTGGACACCTAAACTGATTATGATAATGATCATAATTAGAAGTAATTTACATGAATGTAAATGCAGGACCTTTTAGGAGGGGATCCACAAAAGGAAGAAGAGAGAAAGGGTGGGCTGCTGTGGAGCACGGAGGATGAAAGGACATTAAGCACACAAATCTATATCATGGTAAAAATGAACCAAATGCTATTTGAGAAAGCAGGAGAGAGAATTGAGAGGAATGAGAACACAATGGAAAAAGATCCATAAATTGTGATTTGCCACACTAATTAATGATACATTTTCCGATTTTATGCAGTTGGTAAAAGATGGGCCCCCAACAAAGTGCTGGTTTGATGGAGGTATCCAGAGAGGACAGCAGAATCTTTACCACTGAAAATGAAAAGTTAAGAAAACAAAGCAAGGTATATGTCCCTTTTTTTGGGGGGGGGTCCATTCGTGGGGCCTGAACTCTGGGCCTAGACGCTGTCCCTCAGCTCTTCAGCTCAAGACTAGTGCTCTACCACATGAGCCACAGCGCCACTTCCGGCTTTTTTCTTATGTGGTGCTGAGGAATCGAAACCAGGGCCTCGAGCATGCAAGGCAAGTGCTCTACCACTGAGCCACCTTCCCAGCCCCAAAGAATTATGGTTTTACTTTTTTTTTTTTTGTCAGTCATGGGACCTGAACTCTGGGCCTGGGTGCTGTCCCTCAGCTCTTCAGCTCAAGGCTAGCACCTTACCACTTGAGCCATACTGCCACTTTTGGCTTTTCCTGCTTATGTGGTGCTGAGGAATGGAACCCAGGGCCTCAGGCATGCAAGGCAAGCACTCTACCACTGAGCCACCTGGCTCATCTATATGTCCCTTTTTTGTAGTGAACATCCGCAGAATCACTCCTTAGTGAAGTTAGTTTAAAAAACAATTTCCAAATCACACTGGCATTAAGTGGGGTAGCTGGCTGCCTTCCCAGGGTCTGGGTGTGGAATCTCTTAGCTAATGGAGAACTGAAAGGTTTAGAAAAGAAAAGAAAAGCCATGGCAGGGACAGAGTTATCATATGAACCCTGTGATTTTAGACACCATAACCAACAAATGCAGAAAGGTCTCTGACTTGATCATCTATGCATAAAATACTGCATACAACAAAAGGAAACCTTTAACCATTGTAACCATCATTAAAGTAAGCAAAACCATATAAACTGACATATAGATGCCATTGTAGAGATGAGTGCTTTTCACCCATCTTCAAACAGCCTAAAAGTGAGATAGCCATTTTTTGAATTGCAGATGTCATGTTCTTTAGCCCTTGACTTCCCCTAAATGGAAAGTTTTCTCACTCCTGAGTATTCCCCTATATGGTTTGGCCCTGTTGGGCTGGATTCTTTTTATCACAAACATTTGTATTTTGGCTTCACAAGCTTTGTGCTACCAGTATTCTTGGCTACAGGTCTCTGAGACAGGAGTCCACCTGCAGTCACCAGCTTTCTAATAGACTCCCAAGTCAACCTCTCAAGAGGTGGCTTCTCTATTTCTCACAATTGAATTCACATATAACAGAAGGGGGACCTGCCTAACAGTAACATTATCTCATGGTAACATGTTGTTTTACCATATACTGTTGTTGTGATATGGGTGTCCCACCAAAGGAACCTCACAAAAGCCCTAATGGGCTTGGAATGAAGGGTAAACAGAATTAACTCAGGCTTTCCCAACAGGGCTTCCTCAAGGCTTTGAGCTTGCAGGTCCTAAGAACCATGATTCTATTCTTTCAACATATCCTGTAATGTCCAGTTGGGTATGTATACAGTACATTAGGTAACCCTGCATGTAACTTTCAGATTAGGCATACAAGTGCATCCTGATGCAGAGATAGATGGCCAGATGCCATTTTGTCAAAGGAGAAATACACAGAAACTCCTGGAAGAGAGAGTGTGACAAGGTGAGGGGCAGAATGCAGTGGTGCTAGTGGACAGAGATGAACCTATGAACACAATGAGGTGAATGCTGTTGTGCAGTTTCTAGGTCTGTGCTGAGATGGGCCCTTGAATAGTGTCCTATTATGTTGTATGCTTCTACTGATGATGATGATGATGAGTCTGAAAACAGACAGCTTTGGATAAAGCATGATCATACATCTCCATCAGGCCTCAAATTTTTCTTTGGCCTGCTCAAGTTGGGAATCACTTGCAACATATTTGTTATTGCTAAATCAGGTAGATGTCTGAGTCATGAAGAAAGAAGGTCATTTACAAAGAAATAATGCCACTTAAAGTTAGATAAAATGATAATTAACTATTTCTAAATCAAAGAAAGAGATTTGGAAGTGATTTATTGATCATTATGAGTACAGGCACATTGCAAGAGTTAAGGAAGAATAAAATCAATATTTAGAGAACGATTGAATAACTTCAGAGATTTGTGTGTAATATATAATTTTGGTGATTATGGCTAAAGATGTGAATGGAAACAATGGAGGCTTTTAAAAATCAAATTTGGGGAATGAAGAGGTGACTAATGTCAAATGCTCACAATGACACTTATAATCCACTTTATTGGTAATTTGTAGCACATTTGGTAATTACAATTAGTTACTGTTGGATACAAATTTTCCTAAGAACACAGAAAATCCACTAAGATTCTCCATTAATCTATTCCAGTTTCTTAAAATTCTCTTCTATTTACTTCTGTGCATGTTGGTGTGTGTGTGTGTGCTTAGACATATTTTTCTGAGTATGTTGTTCTATGTTGCTTCCTCTTTAGAATGTGTTTATGTTTGGAGCAGAAGTAGTAGGAAACAGTTAACACTGATCACCTTAGTCCATTGCATTTCATGGAACTCAACACTGCAGGGATTGGGACCAAGCAGTATATCCCCCCTTGATTTCCTTTCGCTGTAATCTGATTTGTCATATGAACATGCTAAGACTTGCTGCGATTTCATCTGTGACCTTCCCACAGGGAAATGATAGGAAATGTGCACTTGAAGAGAATTCGTATTCTCTCACATACTGCTTTTTTCTCTAATGTTCAAAATATGTAAAGCAGAGTTCATTCAATATATCTATGAGTCACATTGTTAAAGGCTGAAAAATCTTAGTCAAAATGAGGAAATGCTCATTATTCCTAGCCATAAAGGAAATGCAAAGCAAAACAACTGAGATTCCATCTCACCCCCATTAGATTGGCACATAAACACAAAGAAATTTTACACAGCCATTAGAAAGAATTATAGTATGTTACTTTCAGTGAAATGGATGGACCTAGAACAAACCATGTTAACTGATACAGGCCAAGCTCAGACAGAACAATAGTACCTATTTTCACTGCTATGTTGGAAGCTACATCTAAAATACACATTGACATAGAGTAGCTATACAGTCTGTGTTTAGTCTTTAGGTAGACAAGGCACATTGTGTGGTTGATTCTTTCTTTGTAAGGCCAAATTGTATCTCTGTATGCTGCCGTGTTTCTATCCCAACAATAACCATACTTTACTGTAGTACTCTGCTTCATACACTCTGAGAAAATAGCTATTGTTTTTAACCTATGTAGGTCCTTGGTCTAGAGTGAAGGATTCCAAATACATTGAGTCAGCCATTTTACACCTACCTGGGTGGATTTTTAGGATAACTTATCAGAGGACTTGAATACTTGAAAAATGGCAGTGAAAGTGGGTATAGGTTTCTTCAAATATACTAGAAAAGGATTGGTGCTATTCTTTAAACCAAATTGGATGAGTGTGAATTATATTTCAACAGAATTGCTACCAAATATTTTGGATGATGGTATCTAAGAAATGTTGAGCAGTTGTGAAATCACTATGTTTATTTCTGTGTCAAAGAGAATGCAGACAAGTCATTACTTCTTACCTGCCCATGTTCTTGAGTAATTATTAAATGGTCTACATAAAACAGATGACACTGTTGGAAAAGCAATGTCTTCATTTCCTTACTTTTGTGACTGTAACCCCTTTGTACAACACCATCACAAGAAAAAATTAAAATAAAACAGGTGACTTGCACATACAGGTCATAGAATCCTA